TAAAGTTTAAAAACTGAAATATTTATTTGTATATATATATATATATATATATATATATATATATGTATCATCTAAAATGTGATGGTCAGAGGGCGATGTGATCGCTTTGCTCTGAATGTCAATAAAAAAAGGGCTGTCTGCAAGCCCGGGTAAACGTTGGAAGTTGACCTGCGCTCGGTCAGCCATTCTTGGAATAAAGATTTCTATCAAGCGGCTTTAGATGGAATTATTACCAAAGGTTCATTTCTGCAGTAGACTGTCATTTTTGACATTATAAATATTAAATTATAATTTTGGTTTTGAAAAAAAAAGATAAAATATCTAAAAATATCCATCCCTGGATTGGTTTCATATAAAAAGTCAGAAGAACTTTGAAACTTTGAGAACTCTCATTAAAAAGTTTTAGAAAGTTTAATTTACTTCTTCAAAGTTTAAATTAATTTCAAATTACCAATGCAACATTTTTTCTCCCAACTTGGGTCAAACAAAAGATTTATAGTATAGTATAGTATTGCCTTAATGCAGGAAACCTTTTTCAAGTTTAGTGCTTTTAAGAATTAAAAAAAAAAATTAATTAATATAACCTAGTAAGTTTTGTTTCATGTATTTCCCCAAAAGTCTTCATTTTACAATTAAAAACTCTTGAAATGGTATAAATGGAAATTATGATAACATTGAATATATTTCTGACATTTTAATTTTTATAAACTAAGAATTTCCAAAGACATGTGCCGATCAGATATCGGTATTTAATCGAAAAATAAGATTTTTTTGCGTCTTTTTTGTTGAACACCTTATACTTGGTGGTATAAACTTGTTAACATTATTCCGTGCTTGTTTTCCTGTAACTAAACATGGAGAAAACTTTTCACAGAGCGGTTGTACTTTGTAACTCTTGTTGTTGTGGCGTACGGCCATAAAATACCCCTACACTTCGGCTAAAATTAATCAAATTCTTTGCTTTTGTCAGCTGTCAAAAAAAAAACTAAAATCTTTCTAATGTCATTGGGGAAGAGACTTATTTGCATAAAACAAACAGGAAAGGAGGACGGGGGGGGGGGGTGTTCCCTTATCTTCTAATACATATTACCGTATTACGGCGTTTACCTGACAATTATTAAATATGAACGTGTGGGGGAAAATAAATCTAAATATAGGTATCTTGTAAANGGGGGGGGGGGGTTTTCCCTTATCTTCTAATACATATTACCGTATTACGGCGTTTACCTGACAATTATTAAATATGAACGTGTGGGGGAAAATAAATCTAAATATAGGTATCTTGTAAAAATGTACTAGTAGGGGTAAGATATTGAATTAGGATTTATGTTGATTAAAATTTTAATTATTATTTAGATTAAAATAAAAAAATCAGCTGAGTTTTGTTTTCCAGTGGGTAGGGTAGCACAGTAGCTTAGAATTATTTTTTTTATATGGTGGGATGTTTAACTTATTTAAATTAATATCTTCTTATTTTTATTGATTTATAAACCTTTTATAGAGCTTACCATATTTAGTCATTATATATTTCTAAGTCTGCTTAAACCATTTTTTTTACATTTTCTTTAGTAAAGTCAGGTATGTCCTTTTAGCTAAAAGTTACACCGCTGTGCTTTGGTCCCTTTTACCTTAATTTGATCTGTGCCTTGGTCCCTATTTGCTTAAATTTAAACCACTATGCTTTGCGTGTCTATGGCATAATTTTAAACCGCTTTGATTCGGGTTACCTGTTTTCCTTGATTTAAACCGTGGTGCGTTGGTCCTTTTTTTACTTTATTTTAAACTGTGCTTGGGACTTTGTTCCCTATTTACTTAAATGAAAACTGGTATGCTTTAATGCCTTTTACTTGAATTTTAACCACTGTGATTTGGGTACCTTTCCCCGTTGATTTAAACCACTGTGCGTTGAGTTGTTGACCAGTAGTAGATGTGATGAAGAGACTGAGTTTAAGGTTTAGATATTTAAATAATGAGGGGGTGAGGGGAGGGGTCGAAAGAGAGGATGAGGTGGTATCCCCCCCCCCCTCTTATCTACAGGAAACCCGACGTATAACTTCTCAGATGGATAATTTCGATATATTTTGTCTGTTTTCAAGCATTAAATGGAGGGGAGGGATTACCCTAACATCGTCTAAGGTACGACTAAATCTCATAGAATAATCGATCCCGTTTTCTCCATTCAAGCAACTCCCAAAACCAGTTTTTTTCTCTCTTCTGTGTGCGCTTTCTTGTATCATAATTTCGCGCTTTCGAGTTGGCAAACTAGTGCGCCCGGGTTACGTGCACACATCACGAGATCTGTCAGCTTCGCGCGCACAAGAGCTAGAGGGAACTGATAATATTGTGCGAAATTCCCCCACCCTCCCAACCCTTCACCCTCAAACACTTGATATCGGTGTAAGCAATTACTTAAATATATAAGAAATGGAAAGACATGATTTTTAACGAAGATAATGAAAGGTTAAGTCAGAATAGTTCAGTTTACAGGTGTCTGGGAAATATTTTGTAGTAAAATTGATTTTGCTATAGAATTTTGTCTGAAATGATCTTTTTCTCCCAAAAAAATTTTAATTTAAAAAATGCTTAGCATTACAAAGACTTTTAGGGCGATTCGCGCTCATCTATTTCAATTATGAACTTGTTCTCATTGTAACATTGAAAAACAAAGAAAAAAAATTCGCGGATTTTTCAAATATATATGAAAGTTGTATATATTTGTTTGTATTCCCAAACTTAGGAAAGATTTAAAAGAATTATAGCGAAATCTCGCACAAGTTTTGATCGAGCAAAACCCTGAAGGATAAATGCATTCCAGCCAAAAATGAAAAATGGATTTTAATTTTTAAGGAAAAATAATTTGTTTTCGGAAGTATAGTTTTTATAGTTTTTTTATCACACTTTTGCGCTAAAACTCGACTTTTAGTTTAGAAAATGCGTGAATTTAGCTTTGTATAAATTAAGGATTAAAAATTAGTATCCCTGTAGTCGTGGATGTATTCACCCCTGTATTACAAGTTAAAACTACTTTGTTCAAAACTTTCAGAAAACTTTCTTCAAATAAATTTGTTCTAAAACTTTTCTCAGGCTTTTACATTTTATATTAAACTTTGTATTTTCGGGGTGGAATTTTCTCCCATTCTGTAGATTTTAGAATTTTACATTTTATATTAAACTTTGTATTTTCGGGGTGGAATTTTCTCCCATTCTGTAGATTTTAGAATTTTACATTTTATATTAAACTTTGTATTTTCGGGGTGGAATTTTCTCCCATTCTGTAGATTTTAGAATTTTAAAATTGTAATTTTGACCTTAGGTAGATTTTAGATCTTTTTTGATGATTAAAAACAATGCTTTATGCGTTTTATGCGTTTTATGCGAAGTTCCGTAGATTTAATATTTTCTCATCAAAGTATTGCTTTTATACTGCGCACAGTATTTCATAGTTATCAAATTTTATTAAATGATAGAACGAAACAAAAATCTGAAGTACGGAGATTTACGCCCTAGACCAAAAATAGGAAAATATTTTGAAATTGCCATTAAATAATAAGAGATTAGGCATTTTTGTTAAGCTGTTATACCACTGACGAGGCCTACTTTTACTCATGTAGGGATTGATGAACTTGCTTTTTAAAAAATCAAAAGGAAAAAATTTTATTAAAATTTCTCGACTTGTTTTTAATTTAAAACATTCTTTTCGAAAATGATTTTTCTGGCGCTGGTCTGTTGGAATGCATTTCTTTTTGCATCTATGCATTTATTTTAAATGCATATGCTTTAAAACTGCAATTTCTTTAGAAGTGCTCACGGTTCAATTGCTCCATGATAGCTTGAGAGCTAACCCCGTTTTATTTTTTACTTTTTTCTAAAATCGTTCATTTCCCATCCTTGAAATCCTTCGGCGATCGACGAAAAATAAATTTAACCATCGCCCACTTAATTGCTTTTCCTTGTAGGTTTATTATTAATATTTTTTCAAATGATTTTTATTCAGTATTTTCCTGTAAAATTTTTCTCTTTTAAATATGTTTTGACTTTGAACGTTTTTTAGACATTTTTCACAATTTCTTTACTTTTTTAGGTTTGCAAACAGTTGATGTTTCAACCAGTCAATTCTCCTTTCTCCTCCAGGTTTTAGTTTTCATTGATCGCCTAATTTTTATTTCGTTTTTGTGAAAATTTTATAATGCTTTTTTTTAGTCTTATGGATAAGCGCAAAGTCAGCATGATGCAACCAGGGAAAAGAACCAGAATGGATTCAGGTAATATTTTTTGAAAATTTTGTAATTAAGGGGGGGGGGTAGCTTTATCACATATATTCATTATTTTATCCTGTGTACGTGAGTTTACAGATTTCTCTCTTATTTCTCATTAAGCTAAATTTAGACTTTTTGAAAATCATTTATCCGATAATAAATTCCGAAGAAAAGCTCATTATTTTATTTTTTCTAAAGGATCTATCAGAGGACCTATCCCTAACGGACCAATGCATTCCCGACCCTTGGTCGCCCTACTTGATGGTCGTGACTGTTCTGTCGAGATGCCCATACTCAAGGATGTCGCTACTGTCGCCTTCTGTGACGCTCAGACAACAACAGAAATCCACGAAAAGGTAATATTAGAGATTCGGAAAAACGTGACAAATTATTATTTTATTTGGTAATTGGAACCAATAATTCTATGTTTTCTATTAAAAAAAAACCCGCCGACTTAATAAGTTTGTAGAATTTTTGCACCAGTTTTTAACATTATATTAATCTTTATGAATTTATATGAATATTTTTGTAAGAAATAACAATAATGATAATGAAATTAATGCTGCAACGTAATGTAAGGGTCTAAGAACACTTAATTCCAAGTGGAGGCGTTTAACTTAAACCTATTAGGGCTGAATATTCGATAAAAAAAAAGAAACCAAAAAATAAAAAGAAATGCATGTTTAATAATATCTAGGTTTTGAATGAAGCAGTTGGGGCGCTAATGTGGCACACAATACAGCTAAACAAGGTACTTCATATAAAAACAATTAAATAATTTTAAAAAATTATTACTCGTCCTTCATATATTTTTGTAAAATAACTTTTTTGTATTAAAGGGAGTGTTCGCGAAAAATGAAAGGGGGTATAGGCTTAATTCGATAAAAAACCGCTTTTGATCGCTACTAATCTTACTTCTATCTGTTGCGTCTATAAGGAGAAACTTGTTAAAGACGTCTCATACCGAATAACTTACCGTCCATGCAAATTCAGAAAATTGCAACATACGACTTAGACCGTAAAAAAATCAATCTAATTTCAAACAAATCATTCAGAAATTATAATTTGATTATTTCTCTTGGCGCTTGCACAACTATCTAAGAATGCCGCGGACCACTCACATTTTTCGAAATCCGTTGAAACGTTTTCTAAAAAAATAAAATATTATAATTTATAAACAATATAGAAATGTGGCGAAAGATAATCGATGACTATAGTTTGTAATATCTGAATGATTTGTTTGAAATTATATGGATTTTTTACGGTCTAAGTCGTATGTTGCAATTTTCTGAATTTGTATGGGCGCTAAGTTATTCGGTGTGAGACGTCTTTAACAAGTTTCTCCTTATAGACGCAACAGATAGAAGTAAGATTAGGTGCAATCAAAAGCGCTTTTTTATCGCATTAAGCCTATACCCCCTTTCATTTTTCGCGAACACTCCCTTTAAATATTAACTTTAAAGTTAACCCAATCAATAAATCCTAGGAGGATTTGGAGAAATTCCGAGCACTACGGATTGTTGTCCGAATTGGAAGTGGGTTCGACAATATTGATGTTAAGGTAGGATTATTGTTAAATAATCGGGGCTTGGACTTTATTTATGTGTTAATGAATTGTTTCTAACGTTTTACTGTATTTTGTAAAAGTTTGCATCATTGCATATTATGAATGTATGATATTCAATTGAAGTTTTATTCATTTTTCATTTAAAATTGCAAAGAAAAAAAATTTAAAATTTTGACCGATTGTTTAAAATAATAATAAATATAATTATTATTGATTATCGAATGATGGGTTGTCTTTTACAAATAATAATAATAGTCAGAACTAAATGTATTTAATTGAATTAATGAGAGATTTTATGATATTTAAGAACTTTTTTATGTTTGCGTATTTGGTTTATTAAAAAATATTTTGGATGAATTTACGAAGGTTCGATTCATTGGTTGGTTGATTGATTGATTGATTGATTGATTGATTATATCTAGTCTGCCGGTGAGATGGGTATTGCTGTGTGTAATGTACCAGGATATGGTGTAGAGGAGGTGAGTCAAACACGATTTCTTTAAATTAAAATTATTTTACATATTTTCATTTCTCGCTGATGGAGGAAGAGGGGGGCTACTTGATCCCCTTTTGTGCAACCTCAAAATCAGCAATTGAAGGATACTTCAGCTACATTGAACCAACATTAAGATTTCTGAACTGAGCACCTTGATTCCAGTCATTATCATATATATTTATACAAAAAAAAGGTTTGAAAAAAAAATCAAAAACTATAAGAAAAGTTATCTTTTTTGTATTGATGTGACATCTTTTTGTATTTGTATGACATGCTTGAAGGGGGCTATGAAGTTTTACGAACGATCAGGGGCCAGAGAGAATCCAGCAAATTACTAGAACTATTTGTTTTTTCTAGGTTGCAGACACAACCTTGTGTCTGATCCTGAACTTATATCGTCGGACCTACTGGCTCGCTAACATGGTGAAAGAAGGGAAGAAGATAACTGGACCAGAGCAACTAAAAGACGCGGCATTTGGGTGCGCGAGGATTCGCGGAGATACGCTCGGAATAGTTGGACTAGGTCAGTTTACTTTAAACCAAACACTCGGAATAGTTGGACTAGGTCAGTTTACTTTAAACCAAACAGTTTTCACTGAACAAGCTGTCTGCGCAATTTAAGTGACTCTCTTGTTAAAGACGAAATGAAATCCTCTTTTTTTATATAAAAATAGATTTTTCTATTTGTGGTTTCTTGTTAACTTACGGATATGCACAGAGGATTTAAAACGTATATTACAGAAATCAACACTTCTTTACGTGGAAAATCGGCGATAGTTTTTTCCTTGGTAGCCAGTAAAGGGCGTAAATGGCACCGATATGAAAAGGGTCACTTGAAATTACGCCTACAATCGCTTTGAAAAGCGCTATTTTTAAAGTCATTTATCATAGAATTGAAATAGTTCTTAAACTGGTCGATTTTAAATGATAAAACTACCGCTGTCAGTTTTGCCTCAGCCCCCCCCTCTTCTCGTATTTTTTTAGCTGGTTTTCAGCCATCTTACTTTCGAGGAAATTCAGAGTTTATCGATTTTTGGATGAATTCTAATTTTAATAATGTTAAAATGATTTCTAACGAAATCAAGAGAAAGGAAAAAAGATATAAGAGAACATTTTCTTTGTAATCTCAATTTTTCAAGATTTTTCTTAAATTCAAAGATTTAATTAAAATTGAAACTAAAAATCTTAAATTTTAAGTTAACCGATCTTGATATATATGTAATTAAGTTAACTTGGCTATTTGTTGTCTAGTATCTACCAAATTAGTTTAATATTGAATTGAATTATGTAAAGTAGCTAATCCCTATCCCAACCATATTTATATTTATTTATTATTGCAAAACTAAAAAGAGATCGCACCATGAACTTATTTTTCTTATTGTCTTCAATACTCGTTTAAATAATTTGGAACTTCAGGAGGAATTTATTCAAAATGAATTTTAAAGTCAAATTTTAAATAAAATCTAAATATCCTCAAGTGTGTAGACTGGCTCATTGGCTGAATGTGTCTCCCAAACTTAAAGATGGCATATTGTTAATTATTGATATCCAAATCCTTTGAAGGGTTTATTTATATCGGAATAGTACTATTATCTGACAAGTGACCACAAAACTCAAACAATTATGAAGATGTAGCTTAAAGACAAAACAAGAACGTTTTTTGTTGTTTTGGTAAAGTGAATATAAACTGAAGAAAAAATAGATTTTTTGTTATATGGGTAAATTAAATCATTAATGTTTTAGAAACGAAAGAAGAAGAAAATTTGTATTGTTATTTTGATAAATTAAATCAATTAAATCAAATGTTTTAGAAACGAAAGAAAATGATTTTTGTTATTTTGGTAAGTTGAATCATAAATTGAAACTGAAAAAAAATGAATTTTGGAATAGCCACGCATAGCACACTCCCCTTGCTGGCCCCCCTTCTAGTAGATGTCATGTTAGAATTGAATATCTGTGTTTAAAGTTAGTTTGGTCTGAGTTAGATTGGGTTCTTGATTACTTGAGGAGTTCTTACTTCTTATATAATATATAATATATCATGAATTCAATCTCAACACAAATACACGGAACTAGGTATCCGGGGAGCTTCACGCCACTCTTCCCTCTAATAATTTTAGCTTCTTTATTTTACTTTAACTTCAGTGATTTTGTCTTCATGCATATTCAAATTTAAATCAGTAATTTTTCTTTTTTAAATGGTAAATATCCTAAGAAGAACTTAACTAATTTCGACCCGCCTTAAACAAGAGGGTCGGGTCCGCTAACCTATCTAACAGATATACAGACACACAGTTAGGCAAGCCAAATTACTGTTTATTTAGATATCATGATATTTTTAGTATTTGAATATCAATGGGGATGATCCTAGTTTTTCAAAGCTTTGAAGGGAAACTGAAAATGGGACTTAAAATTACAAACTTTTGGTTCCTTTGGGTTTTGAGACACTCTTAAAAAATATGATTAAAATTTTTTCCTTGTGAATTTACTGGTGTCCTTTTTTTCATTCTTCCTATATGTTTTATTCATCTTATCTTCATTTCCTTGAGTAACTAATTTTTACTAATTAACAAAATCATCTTTCCTTATTACTTTCTTTCTATTTAGTTTCCTTTTTATGTTCTAGTAACTAATCTAACTTCGTATCTGACTCATATCAAAGTTGGGAGAGGGTTAAGCTTGACGGTTTCTAGTTCCTTTACTGATTTGTCATATTCATTCATTTTATCATTATTTACGTGGATTTTTGTCGGTTTAAAGTGACTGTGTAATTTCAATTGAGCCTCCAATTAAAGAGGACAATGCCCGATTCACAACAGTATCCCCTTTATCTGATTTATAATAATGAGATATTGTCGTTTTTCTAGGTTCACAAGTGTTTAATTCTGATTATTCCTTCATGTATTTCTGTAGTAGAAATTTAGTCACTTAAGCCACAAATAAAAATAATCAGTTCTGCAAATTATTAAGAATGGTATGTAATTCATAGTTCATCAATCAGACAAAGCTGTTAAGGGATCAGTTGTAAATTGGACACTCCCTTTAATATTGAAATATATTTAAATATATTGCGGTTTTCTGACGTATTTATAAAGGATACTCTAAACTCTGATGACGTCAATAGAGAAGTCAGTTACTTAAATCATATCTAATGTATACACAATCAGTAGAATTACATTTTAAGTTTACTTTTGTAAATTCGTACATTGCAATGAATTCATTCATTCCTCTATTGCATTAACCTATTACCTATTACCNCACATTTCGACGTCAAAAAAAGTATTATAAAATGTCAACATTATATATCACTATTTTTATATCTATTTTTGTCTTTTTTTATATTGATTTTAACAAGTTGATATTCAGGACGGATTGGTTCAGCTGTGGCGCTTCGTGCCAAGGCCTTCGGGTTCAACGTAATTTTCTACGACCCCTACCTCTCCGACGGTATCGAGAAGTCCCTGGGCCTTGAACGAGTTTACACACTACAGGTAAACATTTTTCTCGCGGCTAACAAATGATTAAAGGGACTGTGACGTAATTTCACTTGACCCTACATTTAAAGAGGGATATTCCTGATGTAGATTTTAGTCTTTTTCTGTCTTAAAGTTAAAGCTGGTGTAAGCAGGGAACTGACAGCAGCGGTATAACTTTTCAATGATTTCAATGGGAATGATTCCCTGGGGAAAATTGTAAATTGTCTCTTCATCCTAATCAATACTAACCTTAAAATTCGTTGATTTTCTCCAATTCGCACAAACCTAACATGGGGGGGGATTATTTTCAAAGAGGAAGGGGGGGGGGATTTTTTATGAAAATACATATTTCTGACCTACTTAACTATTTCTTAGGATTTGTTGTTTAAAAGTGATTGTGTATCTCTGCACTGCTCCTTGAACGAACATAATCATCATCTTATTAACGAGTATACAATCAAACAAATGAGACCAGGTATAGAGTTCAACCCAGGGGTATATATTAACAAGAAATAAATCCGATTTTTTTTTGTACCGAGAGGGGGGGGAGAATAAGACTTGAATGTAAAATGTTTCATTTAATTAACGAAAATTCAACAAAATTTGAAAATTGTAAAAATAAACTTTTTTTCAGGAGCTTTCCTCGTAAATACTGCTCGCGGAGGTTTAGTGGAAGAGTCTGCGCTTGGTTCCGCGCTGAAGGACAACAGAATTCGCGCAGCAGCTATTGATGTGCACGAACATGAGCCTTACAACATATTCTCAGGTAAGCGCGATCAAAATGGAAAGTTAAAAAGCTTAATCAACGAATAATCTTTTCATCAAAATTTAGCTTTATTTGCTTGACATTAATGGAAATATATTTTTAGGAGCTTCACCACTGAAAGATGCTCCCAATCTTATTGGTAAGTTTCATCATCAATGAATTACTTGAATTACGATTTTCACTCAGCACAATTGACAGTAGATTCAAGAAGAAAGTTCGTTACATTGAATTATAACTGTTTGTCGTTTTGGTTCGTTTTTTTAAACCATAAGTTTGCTCTTAAACATCTTTGCAATATTTTTTTTTAAAAAAATTGTTTAATAACGATCATTAAACCACGTTCTTTTTTGGTTTGTTTTTGTATATTTTCGACAGATTTGGCATAAAAGATAATGTTTCCTTAATTATGGACGACTATATTTTTTTACTCAAACAATTTGGGATTTTAGACTTGACGGTTTTTTATTCCACTAAACGGGAATATAAAAGATCTTTATGAAACTTGATGAAAAAATGGGCCAAAAAACAAAATATATTTTTTTTTTCAAAAAGTCATTGATTGTTTGATTTTTAGTGACCCCTCATGCCGCATTCTACAGTGAAGCGGCGGCCATAGAACTACGGGAGATGGCGGCAAGCGAGGTATTATTATTTTCTTAAATATTTCTTATTTTTTGTTCAAAATTATCATGGATCGTTTAAATCTTGATTGACTGGTTTTTACTTTGGGTGCATATTTTTTTTAATCACCCCCCCCCCCTTTTTTAAAGGTGTTATTCGCTGAAGTGGAAAAGTGAAATAGACGAAAATAAATTTACAAGAGTGGTTGAGCAAAAGATGCAAAAGATTGAAAATTACTTCGTTTTCAAACCTGATGAGAGATCAGAGAATTTATCGATCTCGAGACAATTTTTGAAGAAATTTTTTTTTTTTTTAAATCTAGATATTTATTTACGTATCATTATAGTTTATTGTTAATATGAATTTAACACAAAACTTTCTTACGACATTTTCTATGTAAATACAATTATAAATCTATAAGTTCGAGATTTAATTTTAACAGATACATTTATTTTCGTTTTTTCATGTCTGGATTGCTGGTAAGTTTATATTTAAGTATTGGTAAAGCAGCAGTTCGAGAGAAAAAACTACATTATATATTAAGGGTAGCGTTCTTTTGTAAAATCTGACTGTGAGATACTACATACACAGTGTGTGCTATCTCTTATTAGAAAAATTGAAAATCGTTGCTGGTTACCATGAGTTACGTTGTAAAGTTTGTGGTGTTTAAGTGCAGGATAGATGTAAAGTAGAAATATTATATTTTACATTAAAATTGTTTTGTTTTCAGGTCCGGCGCGCTATCGTTGGTCGAATCCCTGATACCCTCCGTAACTGTATTAACAAGGTGAATTATGTTATTTTACGAAAACAATTTTATTATATTCAAATGCGGAACTATAAATTGGACTTATAAACCAAAAAAAAATATCATCTTTTTTCTTTTCTGTTCGCAAATGGTTTTCTTCTTGATACTGCTATAAGTTATAACCCGTCCAAGCTTCATTCTCTCGCAATTATGTCTTAAATGTATCCTAAAGTTGTTGTAGACAAAACAATTCAAAAGAACTCATTGCAATTTTAGAGGATTTTTACTTTAAGGAGGGGAATATCAAAAGGAAAATATCGTCGTTTTCTGGCCCATAAAATGTTTGATTTTGATAATTTCCTCCATTATTTCTAAAGCAGACATGCATAAGTCACTTAATAGAGAATTCACAATAATAATATTCAAAGCTTTTAAGTGTACCATTGTGAATTAAGCATACCAGTTACCACTCTTTAAATGAAAGGTCATCTGATTATAACAACAGATTCACTAATTTTTACCTTTACAGTCCCTTTTAGAATAAATATTTTAGGAATACTTCACGACCACAAGTACACTACCTGAGGGTATGAATGGATCAGGATACTACACAAGCCTACCGCCGGTACAGTACAATTTTTAAAATAACAATTACAGAAAGGAATATTTCATTAAAATTTTATTTTTTAGGTTCAACAAGCACATTCCACTACACCTCATGACACCCCTCATAGTGTTAGTGTGACAGGTGCCCCTCCAGGCCCTCTTCCACCAGTATCTATGCCCCCTGGCCTACCTATTGTTAGAACTGATCTCCAGGCCGGATTACAGAAGGTAATTTTTCCAGCGCCATTTTTTCCCCTGTTTCCCGCCATTTTTATTTTTGTCAAATTTTCCCGCCATTGTGTTTGAATTGACAATAAGTCAGGTGTCTTTTCATTTAAAACGAAATCACTGAAATCACTTTTTGCGAAAATGTTTTGACCTTGACTATTATTTTAATCCTCTCCTCTACTCCCTAGTCTGTTGATATGAGAGTTTTTGAAGAGAGAAATGTTACAGGAGGTAACTCAGCATGATCAGACACTCAAATCCGACCCTCATCATCCAGATTAGAAGACCCCGACACTCAAATCCGACCCTCATTAACCCGTCTAGAAGATTCAACACAACTCTCTACACCCCGATTCGGAGATTTGACACTCTCATCGGAAAAGTTTCTGTAAAGGACTAATCAAATATAAGTGTCGGTCGCTTGTTTGTTACAAAATATAGGTGTGCACGTGCATTAGCTTAAACTGATGTACATGTTTCACTTACATACGTGCATGTACAACAATGGACATGATGTGTGATTGTGCGTTGTACATAAATTAGTCCTTTTTGTGACTTTCTAAGTACAAATATTCTATTGAGAAAAAAAAGCTTATTTATCAAATAGTATATTCTCATTTTTTGAAACTAAATATTTGAAAAATTTGTTCCTCTGAAAAGTTGAGCTGAAAGTCCCAGACACTGTTAAAAGCTTTGATTCGATACAGGTTTTAAAACCCCCCCCAATCAGGCCTGTAAATGGCCATTTATAGAGTAGTGCGGAGAAAACAGCTTTTTGTAAGAACCAAAGTTTCTCTGCATCCTTTCTAAAGCCAAATAAGTGGTATTTTTATCTTATTTCGACACCTCCCCCCTCATGTTAATTTTGAGATCAATTAAATGTTTTAAAACAATTTCTGTCTTTAAAAAAACTTTTTTTTATACTTAATTCCTGGAGAGAGAATAATTAAGTATAAAGTTTGTGTATATTTTTGTACCTTTTTGGTTCATGTACTATTGTACTGTCCTCAATAAATGTATTAAACTGTTTAAAACCTTTTTTATTTATCACAGATTTCTTCCCAATTGAACTTATTTTGTGGGCAAAATTTATCGAAATGAACCAATAGAATGAGATTACTTTTGAAATTACATTTCCCCCAACTCACGCTTCGCCCAAACTACACTCAAGAGTTTCACCCCCCCCCCCCCAAAAAAAAAAAAAATGTCTTGCCAATTTTATTTTGAAATTATAAAATTCCATAATCTTTAAAGGGACTGTAAACGTAAATCCGAGTGACAGTGATATGCCAAAGGGGGGGGGGGGTCTACAAATTTTCACGCCTAGCAAAGATAAAAATGTAATTTAAAATTGAGTATTTTACATTAATATTATTATCAACTATATTTAGGGTTAACAAAGGTTCGACAATTAACCTGGTGAAAGTTTTAGCGACCCCCTCCAAACTTTTTGTGAATTTCAAATTTGCAATGAAACCAGAGGCAGCTTGAAATGAGAAAGTAGAATGTTCTTCTCCCCCCCCCCCTGGAAAATTTGGGGGTACATCACTCGCCTTTTTCAGTTTTCATTTAAATTAAATTTTTAATACATTTTTTAAGGGAATTAAAAAAAATTTCCCCTCCAGTGACGATGTTAGGATTTTGACTTAAAATCAACAAAATCAAACAATATCGGGGNAAATTTATTTGCGGGAAATTTTACAATCCCCCCCCCCTTCCCATATCGTAAGCCGCCCATGAATGGAGCTCCCTTAAAACTTTAAAACTGATAATCCTAATCCATGACTTGTGTATAAAAAAGTTTGTTGAAAGCTAAAATATAACTTTGTTTTGTATTATTTCAAACTTATGGCAGGAAGATGCATAAAAACTTTAATGCAGAGAAGTTTTCCTTCTATATTCCTGAAATGAAATTATTTTTATGTTTTAAGCACGAGCACGACTGAGCCGAATAAGTGTTAAGGGTAGTTGATGACATTTCTCTGATGAGAATTAAAGGGATTGTAAGCGTAGTTTCAAGTAGCCCTTCTTGCTAAGAGGTCAGTGTCCGATTATAAACGGTACCCTTTATAGCTGTGTCTGATCAAGTATGAATTGGATAGCAATCTTAATAATTTCCTAAACGGATTATTGTCAAATATAAGTTGACTTGCGCATTTCTAGTGCAGGAAAGCATATGGGAATTGTCGAAATAAATCCATTTTAACCCTAGAAAAACGACGATATCTTCCGCAATATTGATCAGACAAAGGTACCATTGTGAATCGGGGATTCACTCTGTAAATGGAATGTCACTCGAATTTACGTTTACAGTCCCTTTAAAGATTATTGAATTTTATAATTTCAAAATAAAATTGTTAAGAATTTTTTTTGGGGGGGGGTGAAACTCTTCAGTAAGAGTAGTTTGGGCTCATTGGAATTTAACACTTCTAAATCCAGAAAAAAAAACACTATCTTCTACATTCTTGATCAATTTAGGAATTTAAGGGTACCGTTGTTAATTGGACACGCCCCTTGAAAAGTAAGTGTCATACTGGACCGAAGGTGTCACAGGAGTTACAGTGTACTAAAGAAACTAACTCATGATTAAAAAGTATTGCAAAAAAAATCAGCTACAGTGGTAGGCGATTTTATCAATATAATGAAGACGACCTTATATTTTAATTTTGATTTATATCAAGCTTTTGAACAGCATGGATACATCAAAAACATGGAAATAGAGAAAAGTTGTCAATCAAAAAAAGCGTCTTTAATTGCTTGTAAACTTGTAATTCGAAGAAAGCTTGTTAACGACTAAAACATAATCGCCTACCACCGTAGGTAACTATGAAAATAGTTTTTTGTATTGCGAATTCTTTATTCGATTCATTAAACATTTTCTAGCTGGGATTTAGCTGCGATTTCCCAGCCGAGGAAGTCCCAGCTAGAAAATGTCTAACGAATCATTTAAATAATGCATACGCATATAAAACTAGTAAAACCATAGAATGTCGATTTGAATATATTTTTTTGCTTCACAGTTTGAGTTGAAGCGAAAATTAAGACCAAAAATCATCATCATTGAAATGCTGAGACCCTCTTTCTTCGGAGATCCCCATATCCATCTCAACGGAGACCCCTAGGATATCATTAGAGACCTCAATCTTTTCAAATATTATGCATCCGTGCAAAGATGGCAATTGGCCCGATTTCCAAGAAAATCCTTTAAAGCAATTTTCTTTGGGGCGACCATGCTTTTCTTTGGAAAGTCCAAGCTTTTCATCAGAGACCCCATCCCATGAGAAGTTTGGAATCTCCAATGATGATGATTTCTTCCTAGACTCTAATTAGTGAGCCCCTGAACAAATAGGGAGGCTTTCGAAATGTCATTAACAAATTTAAAAATGAGGAGGAGGATAAGCATGATATGAGAATTGTTGGACATGTATAAAAGTTACTGAAACTGAACTTGTTAACAAATAAGTTTTATGGTTCAAATTCACTACTTATAGACCTTCTATCAATTTTGCACATGACCATTAATTTTAAGTTATTTTGTATTATTTTAGGTTTAGGTTGGGTTAAGACAATTTCTGGGCCGAGCGCTGTGGCTAGGACAGGCTATGGGGCCGAGCGCTGCGGCCAGGACGGGCCTTCAATTTCAACAATTTTCAACATAATTCGTATAAATTTAGGGTTAGGTTAGGTTAAGACACTTTTTGGGGCTAGGGGGCCAAGCGTTGCGTTTAGAGGGCCAAGCGCCGCGGCTAGGACAGGCTAGGGGGTCGAGTGCCGCGGCTAGGAAATTACCAAATTTTGTTTTCTCTGCCCTGTTCTCTGGAAAAAGGATTTATGGAGTTTTGTAACTTTATAATTGGGTTTAATTGAATTGAAATTTAGTAAACAGTCTCTTAAAATCTAATATTTTTTGTTGTTATAATGAATGATACGAATTTAAATTAATATCGTATTACTTCCCAATCAAAAGAGGAGCGTGGAGGTTTATCTGATTTCTCCGGAATATTTCCTTCATGTTTCCACAGAAAATGGTCTACAATATTGATTAGAAACAGGGGTGAGCCTTGGAGCGACCGCTCACCCCTGGAAAATTGCTTACCCCTGAAACTAAACTACTCACCCCTGAAACTAAATTGCTTAACCCTGAAACTAAATTGCTCACCCCTGAAACTAAATTGTTCCTCTGAAACTAAATTGCTCACTCCTGAAACTAAATTGCTCACCCCTGAAACTAAATTGCTCACCCCTGAAACTAAATTGCTCACCCCTGAAACTAAATTGTTCCTCTGAAACTAAATTGCTCACTCTTGAAACTAAATTGCTCACTCCTGAAACTAAATTGCTCACTCCTGAAACTAAATTGCTCACCCCCTGAAACTAAATTGCTCACCCCTGGAACTAAATTGCTCACTCCTGAAACTAAATTGCTCACTCCTGAAACTAAATTGCTCACCCCTGAAACTAAATTGCTCACCCCTGGAACTAAATTGCTCACCCCTGAAACTAAATTGTTCCTCTGAAACTAAATTGCTCACTCCTGAAACTAAATTGCTCACCCCTGAAACTAAATTGCTCACCCCTGAAACTAAATTGCTCACCCCTGAAACTAAATTGCTCACTCCTGAAACTAAATTGCTCACCCATGAAACTAAATTGCTCACCCCTGGAACTAAATTGCTCACTCCTGAAACTAAATTGCTCACCCCTGAAACTAAATTGCATCCCCGGAGGTGATGCATTAAGGATGACCTAAGGAAAATAGAGTGAAAATTATGAGTTTCCAAAATCCAAATTCTTTTTGGTTAAAATAAAAGACTAAAGAGAGTTATAATATAGTTATATGTTTGGTTTGAATTTCGCGCTAAATCGGCATAGTGCGACTTTATGTGAGTGTAAGTCCACAGCAAAAAAATAGTAGAAAGGGGTGATACAGAAAACTGTTAAATTTAGAGGGGGAACATGATATAAATATTACTAATATGAGGTCAAAATCAAGGTGTTGACTTTAAAAGTCACTATAATAAAACAAAGAGATCTGAAATGGATATTTCTTAACATTTATTTAAAAAAACGATATTGTTTTGAAATATTTGCATATGACAGGGTTAAAATTGGTTGGTTTAGAAATTAACAAAGGAATTAATGATGAATATTTGTGGGCACTTCATGGGAGTGTTGTAGAGCTTCATGTTGGTGGAGCAGATCAACAGGAACTGGAACAACAGGGCTTATCAAACATAGTAGGTAGAGATCGCGGCTTTATCATGCTGGCTTTGAGCGATTATGTTGTCTCTGGAATGCATGATGAACTGGGAACCCTCGGGTATAAGCACGCCTGCTGCTAGCTGAGTATCTGTGGAAAAGGATTCATACGTCTTCAAAACAAGCAACGGGCAACGGCATCGGAGTCGGTAAAATCGTCTTCCTTATATTTCGAATTTGTGTAAACACAAGGATAATATTCTCTATAGTGTTCTCTTGGTCCCCCCTTGTCCCTGAACAAGAAAAACAAAAAAAATTTGCGCTACGCGCATTTACAGTTTCGCTCACCCCTAAGAATTTCTATATCTGCCCCTGATTAGAAAGAATACAATAGGCAATATAGCGTATACAGGATTTAATGTAGAAGGGGCCGGGAGCACAAAGAAACAATAAAAACATAATTATGGAAGACAAATTAAAAAATTAATAAGTTCAGTTCTCTATGGATGATGGATGTAATGATCTCCTGAAACGTATTTTTGATGCTTAAAAAACTAAATTTCCCCACATTGCACTATATTGGTATATCGAAGTAGTAAAGCAACACTACAGCATTAATTAGAGATGTTTGGAAACATTAAGCTTGGTAGATGTGAAAGATGTGAAAAGAAAAAAATATTAAAACAAATT